AACAAATCGCATTATAAAATATCACACTTTAGGGTTTAAGATATTTTATAAGGGTTCAAACTAAACTTGTATTCTAACATTCTTTAATATTCATCTCAGTGTACCATGGTTGAGCAATTATACATATATTGCGCTTTCAAAAATCATTAAATGAAAAATATTAGGCTCTGGCCAAAAGCCGATTAAATGGGGAGAACTTGATGTTGGCATGATAGGTAATAACATTCCCTAAACAGACATGAAAGTACTTTGTTTTCAATAATAATGATTAAGAAATTGATCGGAGGCATATAAACAAGTAATAATATTAAACTATTTATTGATATCCCAATTAACATTATTAAAATGTTGAGATTTAAGCTCACTAATATTAATAAGGCATACCGTCTTAATTGTATAATCTAAAAATTATGTTCATAATTTAAAATTTGAACAGTCATTTCACTAATTTCAAGTTGCAAACAACGTACAATTATCTAGTAAATGTGTCATATCTATTAATTAACTTTCAAAAAATATAAGAAATTCAGCCTCTATTTTAGCTAATGATGGTTAATGACCAATTTTTAATAAAAAGAGCAAACATAAAATAGCAATTCATTGTATTGAAAAAAAAATAATTCTTCATCGAATGTCTATTTGAATTTTCAATAACATTTTTGCATTATTATTAATGCAGTGATGGTCTAATTGGACATAGTAACAATATCAATGCACTAATTATGATACATTTCAAAAACTTTGTTAGCTTCTTTTGTGTTAACTGGAGAACAAAATTACAAGCAATAGTAAATTTTGTCCCTTCATATCAAAGAATATTTACTCTTCTAGAGCTTTGAATGAAATTTTCATGATCTCATATTTTATTAACATTATAGGATAAGCAACTTATTTTCATAGAGATCTTATCAATACAAGAGATTAGATCGTATAGTTTTTTTTTTTTGAGACATGTGCTACTTCAAGAATACAAGAAAATATAATTATTATAATTTTTTAAATTGATATTTTACTATTACTTCTTAAAAAACAATAAGTCAATATTCTTCTGTAATATTGAAATTGTAATATCATGCCATTTAGGAGCAAGTAATAATCTTCCAGAATATTAATAATGTTATTCTACGTCACAAGCAACAAAAAATTATCATTTAAAAATATTAACTCTTCGAGAGTATATTTTTTAGCAAAATATTAATATTTTAGAGTTGTACTTCTTTAAGAGTAATAACGAGATAATTATTACTTTAAAACTATAAAAGAATATCTAAAGATATTTAATTATATTGAAAATACAAAGAATATTCAATAACTATCATAAATATATATATTTTGCAAAAATAAAAATGAAGCAAAGAACAGATTCCGTAATTATAGTGCACCAAACTTTAAAAAAAAAAGATTTCGAAGTGCACTAAATTGATTGCTGTACAAAACTAATATACATACATTTAAAAAATCTATGAAATAGAAACTATGTCGAGGTCTTCAAGATATGTGCATAATTACGAAAAGAAAAATTTGTTTGAACGTATGTGCTCAATTACAGAAACCATTACACAATTATCAAATCGGCTTCACGCTTTTCGAAACGGGAGTTGGGCAAAATAGAATTGATTGCATGTAATTTGTCATTATCATGCACATGTATACCCAAAAAATAGAAAAAAAGGAGGAGGAATTCACCTGTCTCAAAATTAATTTTGGTACAAGTGACATGTATATGCTTCCGTCGATTTCATTTTTGATATAAAGATGAATTCGAATTCGAATTTCTTTTGAAATACTATTGAAGTAATTTTGTCCTTTTTTAGAGAGAATACTAAACTTTAAATAATTAAGTTTTCATGCTGATGACGTTTTAAGAAATAGATAGAAAAGAGAGAAAAATGTAGAGAAGTCAAATAAATTTGTCTATTTTATTGAGAACCAAAATCCTATATTTCTAGGGAAGAATTAGTGTTACAAGAGATACAATAGTCATAATAACAAGGCTGATTGCACGAGTATAATGGTCATTTACACATACTACTTTATTTACAATAATTTCAATTTTTTTAGACTTGCGAGCTTGGCCTAAGAAAGTCGCCTCTTGAGCTTCATATAAAGTTCGAGCCTGCATTCAACTCGAGCATGAGTTGATTACATGTCTAGTTTCTTAAGTTTTGTGTAATCATATTTGACAGCTCAATCAGTTGGATATGCAAGTTGACCATAGAGTTGTTTATATGTTTAGTTTCTTAAGTTTTGTCTTGTCACATTTGAAACTTAACAAGTTAAGCATGCAACTTCGATGGATCTTATTCATATATATATATATATATATATATATATATTTTTTTTTTTTTTTTTTTTTTTTTTTTTTTTTTTTTTTTTTTTTTTTTTTTTTTTTGTTGAAGTTTTAACTAGTCACAACTTGACCTTAGATTCGATATGTCATCTAGTTTTATGAAGTTTTTCCCAACTAATATATCCTCTTATCTCATTTTCATGCTGAACAAATCCATATTTTAAGGGTAATTAGTATAAAACATCCTTATCTTAAAATATTGTCATGCAGGATGTCTCTACCTTTTATTTTTTTGACATTTTCATCCTTAGTTTTATCCTTCATTGTGGAAATTATCATTTTCTCAATTAAAAAGTTGTGAAATGACGAATGTATCCTCTTGTTTAAATCAAACAAAAATAAAGGAAAAAAATAAAAAACAAATTGTAACTATATTTCCAAATTTTTTGAAAAAAATACAAATAAATCCCAAATCAAAAATCAAAAATCAAAATTCGATTAAAAAAGAAAAACACTTTCTTTCCTACCTACGAAACTACCACTTTTACTCGTTGAAAAACACCGCCCAACCGCCACCTTAGCCATCGACACCACCGCCATCAAACAACCATCCATCCCCTCGTCATAACGCTCAAACCCAACCAGATCTGACTGCAATTGGTAGCCAAAATCTCCAGCCCACAAACACTAAACTTGATGGAATCGACGTTTTTTTACGGTTGTGGCCTGCCACCAACAAGTTACCCTTTTCAAGGCGGCATAAACCATGGTCAAACATCAAACAAAACAATATCTATGAAATGGTAGTAGAATGATGCCTCCTGATCTGCGGAGCGGCCTTTGGCATTTTCACTACTCCGACGGGCTTATGCAACCTGAAAAGTGAGGGCGGGGTTTTCTCTCCCGTTTTACCTCTGGTGTGATAATCAGTATATGTTGGGAGAAATGTAAACTGAAATCAGATGACTGAAAGAAAAAATGTCCAATCCCATACCTCGGACTCCTTAGAGGGTATTTATAGGTGCCGGAAGTTGGGTGAGTGCTGGGTGGTCGTTATGCCACGTGTCCCACGTTAGCTTTTCCACTTCCCCACGTTTTGAGTGGGGGGCCTTTAACTTCCCGCTTGGAGGTCGTGCTTGTGATAACCGCTATGGGGTTTCGCCAATTTATTAGAGATTTGCATGGCTAAGTGTCGGAATGACCACATAGGTAATTCCATGTTGGTGGACGACTTTACGCAGAGGTAAAGTGCCCGCGGGGGGTTGAGGAGCTTACATAGAGCTAGAGCGCCTGTAGGGGGTCGATGGTCTTGCATGGAGGTAGAGAGCCCCAGGGGGTTGACGGCCTCGCAGGGAGGTAGAGAGCCCCGAGGGGTCGACGATCTTGCGTGGGGTAGAGAGCCGCAAGGGGTCGATGGCCTTACATTTGCGTGTAGCGACCTATCTCATCTATTATTGGGGGTGGTTTTCTGGGCCAACATATATCAACCTAATTGATCTGCTATGCCTTAGATTCTTTCTGCAATCGTAATTGCTGAGGCTGAATTTGGAGGCAATTAATCAAAATTGGATCAATTAAATGGTCACCCATTATCGTCTAAATGTTAATTTGATTTCCCCCAAGAGAATTTGTGGATTGGACTATGTGAGGCCATCAATTGAATGGGAGAAAATTGAGCTTGTCCACGTGCGATCTATGCTACTCAAAAAATTCACCTATTGTTTGCCATTTGTTTGATGAATTCTCCCCGTGGAGTTGTACGCTTGTGGTGTGCAACCTGACAGGTGGTGGTCCACGACGGTGGGTGTCGTCGGAAGAGGTTGTGCTACCATTTTTTGTATTTCGATTTGTTGATTTTGAGCATTGATTTTTATCAAATCTGTTGGCGTAGTGGCTGGCTAATGAGTGGTATATGTAGAGGGAAGTGTATTGTCCAGAGGCATGAAGATTAGCAGACTTGGGTCGTGGTTAGCTAGCGTTTATTGATTAATGTTTTCATGGCGGTGATGGTGGTGGAAGAAAGTGATGTTTTGGTTTTTTAATTTATTTCTACTTTTTTGAAAATTTTGAAAGTATAATTGCAATTTGTTCTTTATTTTTATTTTTTTATTTCTATTTTATTTAAATATGAGAGTATATTTATCATCTCACGACTTTTAATTGAGAAAATTGATGAAAATAATGATTTTTACAATGAAATGTGGAAATAAAAAAGTTCTAAACAATTTACTCATTTTTTGAGGGTAAAATATAAATTTTATTCAAGAAACATCTTGAATTACAAGAACAACAATAAAATTTAGAATTTACCCTATTCGAATCATGTCGAAGACGAAGAGAAAGCTCATTGAACAAGAGTCTAGTCGACAATATTCTCTTTGCACTGTACAAAAGAAACCAATTAAAAACATTGTAAACGAACAATATAAGCCATTTGCCATTTTTCATTTTTTGAGTCTCGTTAGATACAAATTTTTTAAAATTTATTTTTACTACATATTTTTTAATAAAATAATTTTATATGTGAATTCATAATTTTTCTTCATTTTTTAAATTGACATTCTTTAAACATTACTTTTTACAAAATTTATTTCAAAGAACTTACGTCAAACATGTCTAATCCTAATCTTTAATCATACCTCGTAAAAAGAACAAAAATAAAAAAGAGAACAATGGCATTTTAGTAACTATATTGCTTAGCAAAGGGCGAATATTTTAGGGGTCAAACACTGTCAGCTTAAGAATCCTTGGAACTTCGCCGGTGTCCCCGAAAACCTTGATATATGCATAATCTATACATACGACGCGATTGATCTTCCTAAATTTCTCAAATTCTAAATGCCCAAGTGTTTAACTGCTCAAAAGGTAGAATTCTTTCCAATTCTTCTCTATACATACACCTGTTTTTGTGTGCACGTGACTTCTTGCTTTTTTGAAAAATTAAAAAATAAAATTCAATTCAAGTATCATTTTTTTTTTGTTCGTTCTGTTTCCGTTCAATTCAGGTCATGGATATGCAGTTTATATATCTTAATTGATTGTTCATAGCAATTAAGACCCTTCTTTTTTGTTGTACTGAATTTATGAAGATTACATTTTTTGCACTGATCGATTCATTTTTTTAGTCTTTTGTAATTATACAATTTTCTTAGTGTTTTGTGATATTAATATATCTGAACACCCATTGATTAATCCAATTTTTCAGTATTTCTTATTTCATCAGTTTTGAATTGTTGAACAGGTGTTGCTGTCGAAGAAAAGGATGAATGGAAGTTCCCTTTTGTTCGCATAGTTTTTGGTTCTGTTTGCAAATTTATAATTCAGTTTGTGCCCCGACCATGTTTATTTAAATTGTCGTGTGAGTTTTGACTCCATTCAGATTGAGGGTCTTCTTCAATTAGAGGACCCTGCATATTGAGATCATAGCAGTTGAGTTAACGGTTTCGAAGAATTTTTTGGTTGTGTTTTCTATAACAATGCCAGCTGTACAGAAGCTTTATAATACATGTAAAGCATCGCTCTCTCCAAATGGACCGTTGTCAGAAGATGCTCTTGAAAAAGTTCGCAATCTATTAGGTAAAAAGAGAAAAAATATTTGCCCTGACATTTGTTTTGCATTTCACATTTTTAATCCCAATTGAAAGTTAGACTTGTCATCCCACTTATTTGTTACTTAGTTTGTCATGTTAAAGCAGATGACATTTTTCTGCTGAATAAACATATTTAATGAGCTATCTATCTGAAAAAATACTATATGAGTTGGTTTTGCATTTGCAACTTGCCAGTTTCAGTTGATGTATATATGGAAATATAACTGGATTTTGTTTGGTGATTGAGAATAACTTGTACCTTTTACGTTATTTACGTTCTTTTCTTTTTAATCTATGATGGAATTATCTTTCATTCGTCCTGTATCGATGAATACACACAATAGTTCAGATTATCTGAAGTTTGCAAATGCAGCATTCTTCTGAATGTCCCCTTATTTCTTCGTCTACTTATTTTTCGCTACTTTTAGTATTGGCTGTTTCGACTTCCTTTCGTCTATGTTAAGCGATGTAACGAGTATATTGATGTAAATCCTAATATAAACATGGTGAAAGGATAACAATTGTGATCAGGTGATGATCCCATCGCCGACCGATGAATTCTGCTTGTGTAACATTGACGCTTGTGTCTCCAGCACACTACAGCTATCATGTGCATGGTCATGGTGATATGCCAATAGTCGATAGCTTAAGTCTTCTGCATTATTGTTCTGCTTTAGATATTTAATGTGAAGCTTTGGACATGCCAGTTGTTTTTATCTTGGGTTAGAATTTACTAGCACTAGTGTTTGACTCCTTCGTGGATCCTATCAGTTTATAAAACAAAGTGGTCAGCATTCATTTTTAAATTAAATTATGAGCCTCTTGATTTCATGTGTCCTTGCCTTTTAGGTCATTTTAGAAATGGTCATCACTAGTTGGGATTCTGATTGGATAAGTAATAGTTTCACTTTAACAAATCGTACAGCTTAAGAATTGGTATAGAGCGTTGGTGAAAATTGAAGTCCGTTGATGATTTTTTTCCATGGGAACTGTCACTATAACTGTATTTTAGTGTAATCAATTGTTTACGAGCATTATGTTGGCATGACAGAATATGTGTCATTCAACATTCAAAACCAAGCTTTTTTATTAAGATAAGATAAGAAACTCGATTGTGATTGGATGAGTAATAGTTTCAATTTAGCACATCATATAGCTTAAGAATTGATATAGAGTGTTGGTGAAAATTGAAGTCCATTGGTGATTTTTTCATGGGAACTGTCACTATAATTATATTTCAGTGTAATCAATTGTTTACAAGCATTATGTTGGCATGATAGAATATGTATCTTTCATCATTCAAAACCAAGTTTTTATTAAGGTAAGAAACTCTACTGTGTACGTAATGTTCTTACAGTAATCTCCTTAACTCCCTCCACATCTTCCCAGGTCCTTTCATATTTATTTTGAAATTATTTTTGCATCCATAACTAGAACTTTCTGTAGATTTATTATTGCATCTGCACTAGAATTTCATTTAGGCCAGTTTAGAAGATTGGATTATTGGATTTTCCAAAATTGTGGTGCTCAATTAGTTAGTAGCTAGTACTCGTGGAAACTAGGAAAATATTGTATATGATGACCATTGATTCTACTATTAGATGCAATCAACATTATTCAACACCTGTATTGCCCGGACTCTCCAAAAATGGAGACGTATCCGTGTTGACACGACATAACACGGATACTAACATGGGATATGGATTGGATCATCTTCATTTTACACTCGGACATGGCACCAAAATGAAGATGGCAAAAGGTGAGTCTTGCTTCTCGGGCTTTCTGTTGGCAGCAACAAACTTTGAACACACACACACATAGAGAGAGAGAGAGAGAGAGAGAGAGAGAGAGAGAGAGAGACGATGCATTGGGGAAGACGATGGGTTTGGAAGTGTTATTTTGGGCTCTTGAGAAGTCCAATGGATAGAGTTAATGAAAGCGTGTTAAATGGGCTCTTGTGAAGTTCTATAGATGGAGTTAATAAGTTTATATTTAATTTAATTTGAATTTATTTTTGTATAAATTTTTTATTTATTATATTTTATCTTTGTGAACATTTTATGCTGTAATTAAAATGATTTGGTACTATATCTTTCTTTATATTAAATTTAATTTATTTCTATAATTATTTAAAATAATATATAAGACATCGAAATTGATTTTTTCTTTAATTTTTTTGAAAAGAATTTATTTTGACTTTAAATCTAAATTGATCTCAAATTATAATCCAATTGTTTATATTGATTTTATCGAAGGAGTTGACAAATAAAATAAGTTACGAATTCATTTTTTAATAACCAATATTAGTTAATTTGTGGATAGGTTAATTTAATATTGTGGTTATTTGCTTTAATTGAACCATTTTTCTCTTCGTTGTTTTGGCTCCGTTCTATTATGTTTAAAAAAAATGTTAAGTACCCTTGTGTCCCTGTATCCAAAATTTAGATCATTTTTAACCATATTCCTATATCTTAATATTTATAATGAGGAGGATTTGACTCTTAGAAATGTACTCTTCTCGGATACCTGCACCCGAGTTCGAGCATCATAGTTCAAAACTATGCATTGCATGACAGCAATGGTACATCCAAAATGCACCAATAATTTGAATTGTTTCTCCCTGTTAGTTTCTTTTGGGGAGAATGATAATGAAAGAAGACCGGTGGGAAATGTGGTCAGGTATTCCTGGCTTTCATTATGATAGGCAGTGACAAGATCTAAAGTGAACTTATGAATCAATACAGTATTGTATTTTATTTCTTACATAATTGCATTTGAGATCTTGGACTACTTGTACATGGTCTCATATTATCATCCCAACAGGAAACATGTTAAGGCAATATTAGAAGTCTATTTTATGGTTTGATGCTAAAGTTTTATGGTAAGAAAACTCCTGCCGTGCTTCTTACTGGCTGCTACTATCAATGCATATTGTGATCGTCTAAATTTGACAGAAATCTGTATCTAAGTTTTTCCCTTCTTTCATCATGAAGTATTAGTTGAATGCCACATTATCTATACATAATACTTTATCATTTTGCTCCTCTTGTGTGTCTGTAATGTTTGTGATTGTCCGACGTTCTTACTCTGATTTGCTAGAAATATTGTCCATTAACATTATATTTTCTTTTGGTCTCAGATAAAATCAAGCCTTCTGATATAGGTCTTGAGCAAGAAGCACAACTAGTTCGTGGGTGGAGAGGTACCTTGAGAGAGCGCAATGGGGGCCTTCGATCACTGCCACCAATCAAATACCTGCACGTGCATGAATGTGATAGCTTCTCCGTTAGTTTCTTATCATTGTTTCATCAACCTTTGTTTTGTTATCTAGTTTACATTTTTATATAATTTTTGCTTGTGGTCACCTATGATTTTGATTATGTTGGGGTTTAGGTTTGATTTCTGTTTTTGAATCTCCACAATCACATTATGAGAAAAATTATTTCCTGCAGATGGGAATATTTTGCATGCCTCCTTTCTCCATCATTCCTCTTCACAATCATCCTGGGATGACAGTGTTGAGTAAGCTGGTATATGGTTCATTACATGTAAAATCCTATGATTGGATTGACATACCTGGGCTTTCTGACCCATCTCAAGGTTAGTTGTTTCAGTCAGATATTTTATTTTTTGGGTACTGGTCCTTGAATATTCTATGCAGAATAGCTCGAGTTAAACAGAGTGAAGTGTTTTTTTGTAACACAACACATAGGCCTACCAGCATAAAAAGGGATTGCTGCCTAGTTTTTAAGATGTAATGGTGTATTATCTCTTCCTCCCGACCTTCCTTGTGTTTGTTGTGAATTTGCCTAATCTAAAGTTCTCTTTTAGTCTTGTCTACTCCAACACCCCATCTCACATTGGTAGAGCTTTGTGAGTGGTTTACAAAGGATATTACTTAGCTTTTGCTAGTGTCCGAAATCATGTTTCTGAACTATCTTCCCTGGGTTGTGTTGGTTGGTGCTATCCACTAAGATGATTCTAGGCTCATAAATTAGGTCGTGAATGGGTTGCAAAGTTGATATCATGCATCCTTTATTTTTTAGTACTAAAAAAAGGAATTAGTTGGATGTGGTGGGGATAACTGGTCGGTTTGCTTTCATACCGCATCCTGATGAGAACTATTTAATTGGTATTTGAGTATTTGGGCTAGTTGCCAAGTAACATTTATGCATTTAAGTATTCTTGTCCGGACAAGACGAAGAAATAATGTGGGTACTAATAAAATGAAATACTGATGATGAAATAATGTGGGTGTCATGAAAATGAAAAACTAAGGATAAGATGAAAAATAGATTCCTTCGTTAGAAATCTAGGTTGTGTACGAAAATCTTTATTTACTTTGTTTGGGTCTAAACACCATATGTCTTCTAATGGTTATTGTTCCCTCTGAAGATCAACTAACCTCTTTCCTGCATGTGTTTCAAGTGTGTTAGCATTACTTTCATTATGTTTTCTGATATGGGATTTGAGCAGTTGCATTACTCTAAGTTGTAATTCAATCTATTTTCTTTGGATCGTCTCTCTCTCTCTCTAAAAAAAGTAATGCATTCTTAATAGTAGTATGTTTCTATACAAGCCCCTGTTTGAGCCCCATTTTTATTTAAAAATGTGTTTTGGAATAGTGATTTTTTGGACATTGTGTGGTTAAAAAATAAGGAAAAGTTTTTGACTTATGTGTAAAATTATTTTGTGGGAAAATGTGTGGTTGAAAATGAGTTTTGAAGAAAATGGAGCCCAAACATGGGCTTGGAATAAAGTGCCTCGTTATGTTGAACTTCACTTAAAATATTGGTTGCTGAGATTTTCTGTGGCCTAGTTGCAACTTGCAAGCACTGCAAGTGCCTTTTTTACTGCATGGTTCGTTCCTTCTGGTAATAAAAGGCAACAACTCGAGGTTTTTTCCCTTTTCCCATCCCTGTTTTTATATTAACTAAAAGAAATTCAATTAATTTGACAAGAAAGGGGACACAACCTTGTAAAAGATACGTGTCTCCTATAATTTCTGTCTTTACGAAGTATTATGTATACAAAATGCAGTTCCTAGAAATTTCTAGGACTTTTTTGTGAATGACATTGCCTACTACGAACAGTTTTACCCGATCAATAATGAAGAACATTTATTCCATGATTCTGAAGGGCAGTGAATGAACAAAGATAAATGTTTTCCTTGACTGGTTTGCATTGAAATGCCAGCAATAGTGTCTCTCTCGATTCTTTTCTCCTTGGTAGCAAGAATCAATTAGGGTGTGTTTGATTACATTTATTTTCCATGGAAAATATCAGTTTTCAACCCAAATTCCTACTTAGAGTGTTTGATTGCTATTTTTTTCCATGGAAAATATTTTTCAACTTTTGAAAATATGCCTAATTTTCCTTGTTTTTAAGGAAAATATTTTCCTTGGGTAAAGGTGATTTTTATTTTCCACAAAAGATGGAAAATATTTTCTATTTTTAAGTGATATTTTCCATGCCAATCAAACACTCTTAAAAATCTATTTTCAATAATAAGAATCGAAGAACATGTTGAAGTTACCTGAGTTCTAGGGATTTTTCACCTTCAGAAACTTCATTGAGTATTTTTTTCTGGCACAGCAATCCATAGACTTCTGCATGTCATGTAACTATATTTTTGCATATGGAAGAAACTCGACATCTTGTTCTTCTTGGCATTTGCTATATTTGTTAAACTTTCTTTATGTATTTCAGCAGCCCGGCCTGCAAAGGTGGTTAGAGATTGTGATATGAGTGCTCCTTGTGAGGCAACAATTCTCTATCCAACTAGTGGAGGTAACATCCACTGTTTCAAAGCGATCACCCCTTGCGCTATCTTTGACATTCTTTCTCCACCGTACTCTTCTGAGGACGGACGGCACTGCACATATTTTAGAAGGTCTTCAACTGGAGATCTACCCGGTAATTCATCAACTATGATTTGGGGCTTGTTTGGGGTAGTTTTTGCATTTTGTAGACGAGCTTCTCAGGGAAGCCATCATCGACAGCTTCATCCAAAAGCTCTTCTAACGCATGAACGGCCCGTTTGGTATGGCTTTTAAAAAACCAAAAGGAGCTTTTGAGCAGTAAAAGTTGCTTTTTGACCCGTCTGACTAATTTTTTTCTAACTAGAAGAACTTTTAGAGAAGCTAGTCCAATGTGTCTTTCTTTAAAGCACCAACGGTATAAGAAATTTTTTTAAAAGTTAGTTTTCAAATAAAAGTTAAGATAGTTTCCTTTAAGAACTCTTCTACAAAAAGTAAAAGTAAAAACTATGTCAAAAGGGCTCGAAGATTTCTATAAACTTTATTGAAATGTGTTCAAAAGCAGCTTCTTAGTGTCAGAAGCAACTTTTGGCTTTTCAAAGCCACCGAAAGGCCTCTTGGTCATTTATTACTTTTAAACTAACGAATTAACTTATTTTCCTCTTGTTATTGTCCCTCAAGATACTCTTGAGATGGATGGAGTGACGGTATCTGAAGTTGCTTGGTTAGAAGAGTTTCAGCCTCCTGATGAATTTGTGATTAGAAGAGGTCAATACAAGGGTCGTGTTATCAAAACTTGAGACTATTTTTCATGTTATTCATGTACATCAATGCCTTGATTGAAGAGTTTATTTAGTTTCAATCAAAGTTTCAATCTATGCGACAATAATTTTGTTGGCTGCAGAAATTAGACTTTTGATATGTATATATTGATGAATTAGATATTTTTTTTGCGACCTCAGCCTCAAATAGTAAAATCTTAAGCTGCAAAATATGGATGTGATGATGGCTTTATGTTCACGAAAAAATCTTTCAATTAAAAATACAGCAAGTGTACAGTTTGTTAACAAATAATAAAGTGAATTTTGAGTTTAAGTATCGTCTCACATAAATTTTATTTCGATTTTATCGTGACCTTAATCGAAACAAGAATAATATGATGTATTTGCTATAATGAAATTATAACTAAAGTAAGCTATGTATGCAATTATGAATGAATTAATTAAATTAAATGCAAATTATGCTAAATGAAAGATGATGTGTTTTAGTAAATGACTAAGAGCAAGTTTGGGAGTGATTTTGAGAATTGATTTTTTGACCGTTAGGAGAAAAGTGGGGTCCGTCTGTGAGAGAAAAAGTCAAATATAAAGGCTGGAATAGTGAAATAACGATCAAAAAAATCAATTTTTTGGGTGAAAAAATCAAACCCAAATAGGCCCTAAAGCACCAGGATCACGAATTTTTATGCGATAATCATTTTTAACTTTAGTTTTATATTTTGACAACACGATTGTATATTGTAGAATCAATGTTTTTACTATATTCAACAATCTTATATTCTCATATATGATCAAATTATATCTTTATAACGAATGAGAACATAAAAAAATGCATGAATTTTTATGAATTCTTAAAAATTCACATAAGGCATCGTGGTATATCTTTATCTCTTATTGGATTCTATGACGATTTATACTATATTGAGCTATTTCCCTTCTTTTGAACGCATAACACAAGTTATCATATTCATACAATTACCATACACAATAATTGTGGAGCAAATAAATTCATATAAGCTTTTTAATATCCAAAATGTGTTTTTGATGTCATCGTTTTCTAGCACAAATAAATCTAACCTAGCATGTTGGAAAGAAGAAAACAACAAGAATATTATAGAAATGATATCACCAATTTAATAGTCCTGAATTAAATCTTTGCGTCTTCGAGTCAATCTTTTTTGTTTATTGCCTCCTTCTATGCTCTAAAACTCTTATGAATGTGTTGAAATGCGTAATGAACAGTTAGGGACGGCCCTAGGTCTTGAAAAGACGTCCCCATATTTATTTCCATAAGAATTTTTCTCTTATAAGGAAATCAAATTTTTCCTTGTCGAAATCTCATAGTACAAATCAATGATATAGCATAGTTTAATGAATCTTGGCCCTGAAACTTGCTGAAATTAAGTATGCGATCGCATCGAAAAACCTACTATGTGACCGCATAGTATTAACTAGATTCCAAAAGTTGCAATTTAGTTCATGAATTCCGTTTTCTCATTTCTTGACCTCTTTTATCGTTTTTTTTTCAATACTCCATGTCTTCACTAAATAGGTCATCAAATCGTTCACGTCTTCATTTCTTCTTCGGTGTCATCTTTTCGACTTTTTTCACTTTGATCCATAAACTTTAGTTTTCTCCCATTTTGGTCCTTTTTAGCTTGTTTTTCCTAAATTCTGCCATATTCATCGATGTTGTCCTGCATACATAGGACGTGTCTGATAGCAATTTTTGCTACCTGTGAAATGCCTTTTTTGACCGTTGGATGAGGTAAGTGGGACCTGGGCTGCAGTGCTTTAATTAATATGTTAGACATGCAGCTGAAATGTTTGACCATTTTTCGACAAAATGACATTTTTACCCTTATCATTTAATTCTTTTTTAATGATAGATGGGTATTTTCGACATTTCATTTTTAAAATTTTAAAAATTGCTGCCAACATGGGACCTACGTGTTATAAATAACGGGCAAAATTCTCATTACAATTTGGTGAGAAGCACTCCCAGACACGCACATAATTTATATAGAATTAAACTATATTCCAACATATTTATCAACAATTAGCCATATTTTATGGTCAAAATAAGTATGTGAAACACACTTATCACTTTACATGGTTCGTGTCCTGTATTTTAGCCATTTTCCTTCCCCATATTTGTTTCATTTCTTATCGACTTGCTATGACTTGTTGCAACATCAGTGTTCCATTGCCTTGCGCTAGTTACGACTATCGACCATCCCTATATATGTTTGCCATCGTGTCTTCAAATTGTAATCGCCCAACTTGACGAAGAAAATAATTCTGAATTCGAATGTTTAGAATTTCACAATATTCATGGATGCATACTTGTTTTATCCATTTTCAAAAACATCATGATCCGGATTGCAAAAAATTATGCAAGAGTGCATCTTTTTTAAGAATTAAGATACTTGTACAGGGGTGTCAAAGAATCTATCGAGGAAATTGTACAAGTAGTATGGTTGCTCTCTTAATACACTATTTTTTTATGGGTGGTGAGTATAAACTATTTTCAATGATCTCAATAGGAAATGAAGCTTGTTTTGCTACCTTAAGAAGTTTGCCCCCATCAAACCATTTCAACTTCATAAAATCTATCGTGAAATTTCTGAGTGAAGACAAAAGGTGGTGTCGTTGCAAATTATAGTCATGTTTGAGCTTCGCTATTCAAAAACTCATTTTCAACTACACATTCTTCCAATAAAATAATTTGCATATAAAGCTAAAATTTTTCCTTACTTTTTAATCAAACATTCTTCAAAAATCACTATTACAAAATTTGTTTTTGTTTGAGATTCCCTCGCTTGACAAATAGGATCTGAAAAATGGGGATCAATGTCTTGAGATTGTGTGGATGCCTTCAATTACACAAGGAGTTGAAGTTGGAACATTCTAGAAAACTCGAATATTGATGCATATACTTGAGGTCGATAATCTTTCAATGCACAAAAATATCTTTCCAGGTAATCGATGCGTAAATTGCCAATTTACTACCGCACAACTTCGTGAAAGTAGTAAAAATACACACTTCTTTATCTTAAAAACATTGTTATAACTCTTGTTTTCCGATTTCCATTTTAACGGTGCCACGTAGTAGAAGGTTAATGTCTGAAGGGCAACAAAGTCATTTACTGCCAGTTTATAGGATGATAGATGATCTAATGCAATAGAGTGATGAATTTTGAAACTCATTGAAGTTCAGTGACTCAATTTAGATTAAAGTCTAGTAACCTAACTGAAATTCACTGATAGATCAGTGATCCCAAATGAAATTTACCAAATTTATACAGTTAAAAATGAACAGGGATGTTGAAGTCTGCATCATTACGATGTTTAGCAAACACACTCCTAATGTTTTCTATTCATACAAAGATGATACTCAAAAATTCGCAATTAATGCATGAATAGGCGAACCCAAAACGACGTTATATATGGTGTGGTCATGTTACAATAATGTAGTGCCGAATCTTTGTTGCATTTCCGGTAGGTGCTCTTTCATTTGAATGCAACTGCTTGGACATGACAGCCTTTTGCCAAGGCACGTTTCAAGATTCTTTAATTCGGCGCTATAAATTTGACACTCCAATCTTCATCCATGAACAGCAGAATACTAACATATAAACACGATACTTCAAACGGCTAGCTTTGTGAACTTTGCAATGAAAAGTCCACTGGTAGAAGATGTCAACGGATCAAAGCGCAGAGTCTTGGGAATTCTAGCACTCTTACAAGGCCAGTTTTGGGCAGCATCTATCTCCAGCAACTCTACAAGATTAATAAGGAGAGATGCATCATATGAATGAAGAAGGGCCATTGGGGATGGGGACTTGGGTTTGCAGAGAGGTAGAAGTAGAAGTCAGTAGATAACCATCAGTAGATGCAACTGAAACTATATAAAAAGGCAAGTGCATATAAACAAGAAGCACCAATCGTGGTTCTGTTCTCATCGTGGCGTGCATAAACTGGTGTTATCAAGTCCGCTCCTTACTTCGAAACTGTATGAGAGGAAAGGTTTAGATTCGTCTACGTATAAATTGGTGAAGCACCTGAGGGATACTTGCTCAGTGGTACACCTCTCAGAAATGAACTCCAGTTGAACATTCTCATACTCAAATGTTTGAGCATGTTTGGTAAAGTTATTAAAAGTAACTTCCCTATTATCAGGCTTAGCCTAACATGATTGTATTCAACTACGGATGAGTTGAGTTGAGCTACATCCTTGTTGGACACCTATGTTATAGTAAAACTCTTGCATAGACATCACTTCAGAAGCAAGGAGACAAGTCAAATATATTTCAAAATAAACTTGTAATTTCAGATGCACTAAAAGAGAGGAAAAGGAACAGCTCAAGATCCTAAAACCACTGTGATGCCTACCTGCAGATGCATTTTGTGAAAGGAACTGCTCTACCACATCTTCATTTTGAGAAAGAGTTAAACTATTAACATGACAAGCGAAAACACTGGTTAGAATATCCGAAAGAAAAAGGAAGAAAAAGCAATGCAATGTTCATGGAATTCCAGTAGAAGCGAACCTGCACGTGCTGTAGACAAGAGATCCACCAACTTTGAGCAATCTGAACCCATTGGCTAGGAGTTTTAACTGCAAACGTAATAAGAAAATTATTGTCTAATTTTGAAGTAGAATAAGAGGAAAATATTGTTGGAAGAAAGGTAAAAGGAGAAAGAAAAATGGAAAATAGAAACAGCAAGCAACAATAGCCAGTCTTAGCTTATGATTTCCATCAGTATACAGTGAATAACTTTAACCTATATACCCAAACAGGCAGGTACAGAATTACGTGGACAAATAGGACAGAATCTCGTTATGACATCCAGGAATGAGAATCTATGCAAGTGAAGTTTAAGTGTTTAACACATTAACTAAACTTTCACTTCATTATTTCAGTAGTCTTTTAAGTAAAGACTCAAAAGGAATAAAATTACCAAGGAAAATTATAACCTACCCACTCCACCACTGTAATAGGACAAATTAATGCATCATGCGGCCCATGAAAAGCTCACATGATACCTTAACATGAGAGTAATACGTCATCTCATAAGATGTACATGAAGTCATTTGAAGATTAATTGAGAAAGTGGTATAATGCTATTAATAAATGAAAACAAATTGTACGAAATGTCATCTTTTTTGAAACAAACAGAAATTATGCATATTCGATATTGACTTGCTCAAGTCTCAAGAAAGAACAACAATATGTAATCTGTGCAAATAACACATAAAATGCTTGAAACGCTTCTGCGTGCATTGCTTTTATAAATGGCAATATGCTGTTTTATTATCTACATGAATGATCATCTAACCAACCAACAAGCAATGAAGATTACTGACACTGTTGATCAGACATAGGTCACCATAATCTCATATTTGTGATCTTTTTGTAACAAAAACAAACACGTACTCTTCTATTAGATAATAATTATAAACTATATGAAACCTGCAACTAGTTTTGAACGAGACCTACAGCACAACTATTCATGCAAGTAAAAGCAAACAGCTTATGGACCTGTAGGACAGTCAAGAAATCAGTTCTCTCTGCATCCAGTACTCGGCGCTGAAGTGTTGTCCATCCCCATTGTTCAAATTTTTGGATGTGCCTAATTGAACCATCATGTGTACATTCTGCATCAACGAGGACCTGATGAAAAAATTCACCCAGATGTAGATTTTGAGCAGAAAAGAGATTGGACGACAAGTGATTGAAACCAGTGTTGTCTTCACTATAACAGAAAAGTGATACGAAAAACAAGAACTTGTAAGAGCAATAAAGAATAACGGAAAAAGCCAAGAGATAATTGATTAAAAATTACCTTGTCATAACCTAATTGCAAGAGCTCATGGTCGTTGAGACTTTGATACACTTCACATTTACTCAAACCAACCACTCCAGAATGATGCCCATAAAATATAAGCTCTGGATCCTGAATTTGTGAAAAGAACTGAGAAGCATCATTTTCTCTAGTTTTAGCTGCTCGTTTCCTTTCTTTCCATGATCTCCGAGGAGTCCACTCCTTGTACACCTCTAATTGTTCTTCAGCAGCAGCTTTGTATGTATAAAACGATTATCCTTAGACAAGTATGACTATAAATAGTTTCAAAAATATTATGCTTCTAGCACTAGGAGCAGAAAACAATTTAAAATTACTATTTTAAGATTACTGTAAATGACTTCTTTTAGAGACTTTACATGATTTAGAGTTCAAACAAACCCTCACAGGAATAAGGGAAAATGTTGTTCCATCAGCAACAAACAGACGGCAACGGTCACCAAGTGTGTACTTCTGCAGCATATTTCTGCAAGCTGCTAATCGATGTCTAGAAACATCAACACCAGTCACGGTACCAGAACAGCCAAGAAGGTCCAATATCATACAAAGTTTAGCACCTGCATAAAATGGAATCTTGAAACATATGAATTTCAAAGGCAATATATTTATATCTCATAATGAAGGACATGATCTTCACTTGAGGTTATATGCAATTTCTTGTCAATTGCAAGCTTGTTCATCTTCATTCCATAGTGCTGTTAAGCTAATATCAATGAATGCTAATACAAACTAGGAATTCTTATCAGCCAAGTAGTAAAACATCTATAATATATTAAAGTATCACATCAATGCAGAATCATTTTTTGGACGATTTTAACCCTCCCTACAATTCAATTATTTCAACAGTACAGAACTTTTCGTTTTTCGATAGGTAATAAATACTACATAATTATTGTCGTCTATTAAAATTTGCATTCTTAATTTTCAATTAATTAACATTCACATTAATCTAGATTCAATGAATTTTCACTTGATGAATCTTGAATTATATGAATCTAGAATTATTATAAATAAATTTATTCATATCCATGTATTTAGAAATTTTAATGGGTGTTTAAATTTATGTGTTAACAATTAATTTTTATGTATCAAATGTAATATAAAAAGATTGTTCATTTATATTATTTCATCATTACAAAAAATTTGAATCATAGAAATTGAGTTCTGAGAATACAATTTTCTTCTCTTAAATTTCTATACTAAATTTTATTTTCTTTAATTCGTCGGAGGCTCATCAAATCCTCCAATAAATTAGTACCAAATATTACTTTTACATCACTTATAAAATATTTTTGAATAACATGCAATGTACGTTCAACTTTGACTAATAGTAGTAAAAACTGGAAAAAGGAAATTCAACACATTGGCTCATCAGCCCCAATCAGAACTTTCAAATTGAGACCTTCATACATTGCCATGATAAGCAGGAAGCAAGAACTGGATTCATTCATGCCGCAACCTCAATTTGGGGGAAAAAAAAAAGGACAATAGAAATTCCGCCACTCTCTCTCAGTATGCAAGCAACATCCTTTGTAATTTGCAGTCAGCCTTCCTAGTTGTTTGTTGATTATATATTGTCAAACAAAATTAGTGCCAATGGTAAGAGAAGGCCAGAAATTTAATTGAGGTGAAACCGAGTAAAACTTATTTCCACATGTAAAAGCTAAGTAAGAAACTCGCAATCAGATCAGCAGATCAGCTGTGAACATCCAAACAATGTAACCACATTTACCAGGTGCAGCACAGAGATCGAGGACATGATCTCCTGGTGAGATACCCAAAGATAAAACAGCAGCTCCAGAAGCTGCATCAATACCATATATCTGCATGACAATACCAAGATAATTTAAAATATTTTGAAATTCAAATTTTTTCCTTTTTGTTTCAGGTAAATCGTCACATATAGTTTAAAAAGAGAAGCAGACAAGCTGCCGAAAGGAAAAATAAATCGTATATTTTTTCTGATTTTTGCATCTTTATCTAAGTGAAAAGATCAAAAGCCGAATCCTTTTATTTTTCTCAAACTGGAATATGTAATACCTAACAAGGAAGGCTTATATATATATAAAGCCATTTAATTTCATGATAGTGTAGGCAAAATAGAATTCTCAACAGTCACCTTTCCTTCTTGATACGCCTTCGTTCTAGCGATTCCAACATCAGGCGAAAGATAGTAGAAATAAGGCAACCAAGACACTTCTTTAAGCTTGCATTTAATCTCAGCTTCAATTTCCATGAGGTGTCTTTCGCAACCGGGTTTTAACCTTCCAAGAAAGCAAAAGAACTTGGCTAATTATACAATTAACCGCGAAAAAAGACTAATGATGCCTTAACATCTAGCTACACCCCCCAATTTTCCCTTCACTCGTGTGCAACAATAAAAGTAAAAATCAATTCAACATTCATTATTTATGCTTGTTATGAATGAATTAACAAAATTAAGTTAAAGAAAAACAAGGTACAATAGGTGATGCTAAAACAACCTAATGTAACGAGGCGTGGAATGAGAAGCAGCATAAATTGAAGGATCCAAACCGTTCCGCCTGAGAAAATCGAGGAAGGCATCCGGTAACGGTAATGTAGAGACATCTTCGACTTGCTCAGCCATTGAGCATAGCAGATTAAAGCACACGGGGTGGTAAGTAGGGTTTTGAACTTTTTCGCCGGTGCGCCGGCGGGGAGGGCGGTACGCGGGGTGGTAAACAGACCGAAACAGGAACCTGAAAGGTTTTGTGGGAATAGTGGCAATGACCCGATTTAAAGGTTTTTTTTTTTTTTTTTTTTTTTTTTTTGTCCTTTGACCAACCTTTTCTACTTTAAAAGAAAAAAAAATGTTTTCATTTTTTATTTATCATTTTTACCCTCAGCCCTGAAGAGAAGAAAACGGCTCCCAAATTTGAAAGAGATCAAGCCAACGAAGAAGAAGAAGCAACGGGAAGAAGAAGAAGAAGCTGTACCTTCAAGCTTTAAACCTTCAGAAATTGAATGGGCATTTGCAAACTTCAACTGTAGCAATCTAATTTTAACGACAACCACTGTTTGTGGCTTGAGGAACCATTCAAGGTTGCGAGGAAGGATTGAGAAAAAAATTGCATATATTGAGGTAAATTTGAATAATTTGTAATTTTAATTATTGGTAATGTACAATTTTATGTTCTTGTTATGAGAAATTCTATTGTTTTTTGCATTCCTTGTGCTAATTGGTTTCCATTTTCTAAAAGATTCATTGTACGCTGCTTTTCATGATGAACAGTGGGGAGTTCCTATTCATGATGATAAGTATGTGACTCCTCCCAACTTTATTTACTTTTTTGAGTTTTTGGTTTCCAATTGTTAGACGACCCTATTTTATGGCTTCCTTAATCTTTTGACAATTTGCTCGAACCTTTTTGAATTGTTGAGCTTCTCCACGACATTGGCTGAACTAACATGGCCTGCCATTCTTAACAAAAGGGATATATTTATGTATCTTAGTATTATATGTTATATTTTAAACAATCAGACAATGGTTGCAGAAATTTGATTATTGCAATTTTCATGAGCTCTATTGTCGCTAATTACATATGTGCGTATCTGAATGCAGAGAAGTCTTTATGGACTTTGATCCTATTGCATTGTCAAAATTAAATGAGAAGAAAGTATCAACACCAGGAACTCCTACCAGCTCTCTTCTGTTGGAACTTAAGCTGTGAGCAATAATAAAAAATGCACCTCAAACCTTTAAGGTAAGTGATGATCGCATTGTTTATTGTAAATTTTACCACACTTCAAGATTTACATTTTTCCTTATTAGTTTCAGTGATGTTATTAGAATGTTCGTGATCTCTTTTTCAGCGTTATTATTATTTTTCTTCTTAGGGACAGGCAAACATTGCCTTTTGAACCTTAAACTGTAGTAAAAATGCTTCAGATATTTATTAGAGTTGACAATGATGAAGTTAAGCCCTGACAATCATTACTTGGGAAAAACAATGTTTTGTATAGTGATTTTTAGGAGAATATGTGATTAAAAGTAGTGAAAATTTTTGGATTTACGAGCAAAATATTTTATTGTGGATCAAAACGAGTGTGTAGAATACAAAATTTTCAAATAATGGTTGTCAAACGGGCTAATATTAGTTTTTATGTTTCTCATAGTTTAGGCTAATAGAATAGCTTTTGAGCACTCACTACTCAGGCTTGATACCAAAGCGAGTATCTCCTCGAAAAGGTTAGGTAACTACATGTTTTAGGTGACTATCCAGTATTTTCTTTGACCAGAATGATTGATAAATGACAGGCAAGTAGTATATAGAAGAACTTGAATCACTTTATTTCTTTTTGTATGTATAATTTGACAACGTAATAGAAATGGGTTTACAATTGGTACCTTGAACTCGTGGTACAGTTGGGTTCACCAAGAACCAATGCCAAATTTGTTAATCCAGCCATCACTGCTATTGAACAATAAGGAGGCTATAAAGACGGTTGAAAAAAAATTGTAGTTATAAATTATGAACTTGTATGAACAATTGGTCTCATGTTTGGATTTCTCGTGATTCAGATAATAGATGACTAGGGTCTTTCGACAAATATACATGGAGTTTTGTTAACTACAAGCCTATAATTTGTAATTTCCACTATCCTCGACAAGTTCCCATTATGACGTCAAAAGCGAATACCATAAGCAAAGACTTGGTTAGAAGAGGGCTAAGAGGAGTTGGGCCTACGGTTGTGTGCTCATTTATGCAAGCGGCTGGAATTACAAATGACCATCTCATCAGTTGTTTTAGATATCAAGATTGTATAGCTGCGGGTGATTTAAGAAATGAGGATGATGGCCTCAAGACAATAAATGAAGGCGAGACAGTAGAAGAGATCACTGAAATGGAACTAGGTAGAGCTATTGATGATTTGGGTTTTACCATTTAGCATTAATTATTATAGATTCACTTTGAAAGCATTGTTATCTATTATGTGAAGAGGTAGTTTAACACACTAGGATTGGCTCATGTATGCCATGAAGTTTAATTGTTATGAATTAATTATTCATTTCTAATGTATCCATACTGAGTAGTAGTATTTGATTGTTTAGGATGATATACTCCATGTCTAGGCTAAACTTTTGTGCATTTTCATCTTAATGACAGTATTCTTTTAAGAGTTTATATTTAAGTCTTTGAATCAGAGTCTAGACGGAGTGACCCCTCCCTCTTCCCTTCCTAAATGTATGTGCATGCAAAGGCCCTAGGGCTGCTACTTCTAAAGGAAATCAACATCAATTTGGAGACAGATACTCTTGTTGTAGAAAGGAATACCAAAACTACTAAACAAGCCGTTTTGTATGTTTTTTATTACAATCAAATATTCACCTGTACATATTCATTCAATTATTTCACTTTGTTTACCATTATTTATTATCTTTCACGAGCGATTGTAGTATGTATGTAGTAAAATATATAGAATTCTTGAACATCAACGATCTGGTAGAACAAGTTAATGGCTTCTATATGAATAGATGGAGAGAAAAGATGGCTGCCGATATTTTTGCCCTTGATTATGAGCCCTAGTAACTTTTGATGTATTTGTATGTTTATGAGTTAATGAGTGTGAATATAATTTTATAGTATATGTTGAATGTAGTTTTTTTTATGTTATGAATAGTAGTTTTTTTTTTGAGATTGATTTAGTTTATATTACAAGGGAGATAATGTTGAATTTTTTCAAAAATGTCGGTTCTTTACTGTAATTGTCTAAGGAAAATAACTGCTGTATTTTTTTCCAAATGACTAGAGTCGTTGAAAAAATTCCAGTCTTTTCCTAAAAGAATGACTTTAAGACGTTTAAAAATACCATAGTCGTTTTGTAAAAAAGACCACGAAACTACTGTGGTCTTTTTAAACGACTACAGTTGTTTTATAAAACACAACTATGGTCTTTTTAAATGACTTTAATCATTTTTCTATAGAACTAAAGTTGTTTGCAAAGACTCCAATTGTTTACAATTTATTTTGTTTAGAAATGTAGACGAATTGCATTATATACAATTTATTGTACTCCTTACACATTGTTCAAGCATATATTGTATTTGATTTTCAAGTACATGATTTACAATTGATTTGAATTAGTTAAAAAGAATTAGAAAACGAACTTCATTATATACAATTTAACGTGCTCTGCTAACAATATTCAAGTATACCGTATTTAAATTATAAGTATGCGACTTACAATAATGTATAATGCAAGATGAGGTGAGAATCAAACTTCTAATATTATTAAATTGTGTTTTGTTTTGACCTATTAATTTAAAATGAATAAGAAGACGCACTTCATTACATACAATTCATCGTGTTCCATTAACAAGTTTAAATAGAAATCAGTTTTGGATTGTTATCTAAGCGACATGCTATTAACTAAACAAACAATATATTAATCCTAGTGACTAATACATGTTAGTCGGTTGTGCCCATTTTCGGCACACTGCCTATATTTGTGTCTTTTGAAAAATTCTTCTATAGACGGAATCCTTGTTGTTTTAGTACGTCTACCTCGTCGTAATACTAACGACAGCAACACATTGAGGAAACCAAAATTTTAGGAATTTATCAATCAACTTCATTTAGCATAGGAAAAATAGTAAACTACTCTTAATTTTCAATAGTATAATACAAAGATCAGAACATGTAAATTGAATAGCCACTCTTCTTCACCATAACTACTGCATGCTCGCACAGTAAATGTTTTAATTGAAATCATCTACAAATACAAGTTTTTTCATCCAAATTAACTGTAAAATTCATGGTGTCGTTTCTAAAATAATCTAAAGTGACTGTAGTCGATTTTATGATCGTCTTAAACGATTAAACGACTATAACTGTTTAAAACGATCACAATCGTTTAAACGACTATTGAGTCGTTTAAAACGACCTGAGTCACTTGAAAACAGTTATAATTTGAAAAATGGGCATTATAATCATTATATACTAAGGGCATGTGAAATATTTCAACAATATGTATAAGGATAATTTGGACATTTCAACCTAAAAAGGGCATCAAAAACTTTTCTAAAGTAAGGCCAAAAAATGTTTTGACTGACATGCTTAGGCCTTTTATAAAAATACCCCAAAGGTTTTTGGTGAATTTGGGTTTAAAGTAGGGAAACTTTTATTTTATTTTTATTTTTTTTCGTAAAGTAAAATGGCGATTGTTTGTCCAAACTGAAATGAGAATAATTATATATTAACACTTTTTAATTTTTTATTATCTCCATTACAATTTAATTATAATGAAAGTCTTGAACATCTATTTATTTTACACTTATGTTCTTAATGTTTTTCATCATATTTATATTCTTAACTGTCAATTAATTTACCATCTTATCTTTGATGAGGATTTCTTTCTAAATATTCTGCTAACGTACATTGAAATAAGGGATGTATATTGTGTAAGGATAAAGTTGGTGTACACACAGCTTTACACCTCCATCACATGAAGGGGGATCCACAAATATTTTATTACATGTGGACCCCCTCCCTGTGAGGGGGGTGTATGGCTGTATGTACACTATTGTGTACACACAGCACAACCCATTGTATAAAGCTTTTGTATTTGAGATTTACTTTTGTTATTTAAAAATATATAAATAAGTATTTCTACGTCCTCCTAACAAATATTTTGAACGACACCATTATCAGAGATAGTATGTGCAACGTAATAAAAGGTTGATGATAAAAATTTGATCAAATAAAGTTGAATAAATAAGTAACA